TAACTGGTGGGCTTTCGGGTTTCTAGAGGGCACGCTAGTTTCTGGCAACTCAGAAAGGCAATCCAGGTCTCCCTCCATTAAACCGTTGTCAATGCAACTCTGAGTGACTCCAGGCTGAGGTGTGCAATCCGCCTGTACCACTAAGCACCGGGTTGTCCTCAGGCTGTAACCACACAGCCGGCGGGCCCTTCGTGAAGCAAGCCTATCGCAGGACTCCCTTGTGACTTGTTGACTGGTCCAACCTCCTTGCTGGCTCCTTTCTCTATGCCCTGCACCATCCATTTCTTGATTAAAAAAAGCAAAGCGACCACACAACCCATACGCCACGATGCCCTGGAGGTATGGGGGTAGAGAGGCGTCCACACCCTGGCATCACAGGGACAGGAAAACTGTTTGCTGCACTGGAGGCTGCTGGGCAGTCCGGGTCCCGAGCAGGGAAGCATGGGAGTTGGGAAAGCAGGTGATGATGGCTCAAGTCACCCTCCCCTGTCCTCCTCAGTGTCCCTTTCCTATTGCTAGGGACTTCGTTATTAAAAATGTGACTGTTTCCTCATTTTGGCCTCACAGGACTCTTTATTAAAATGCAAATGTCCCTAAACAGTAACCTTATAAGCCTTTGGCAGCTAATGGGATTAACTGAACAGAACACAGCCACCTGCAGGGCCTGTAAAAAGGCCTGGGCCAAATCCCTACTTCTCCGATTTATTGTGAGCTCATCCCTGAACACCCAGAATGAGAAATCCAGGCATCCCTGATTCAGATCTCATCGAAGGACAGAGGCTTAAAAGCCGAAATCCAAGTTCAGAATTCTGTACACCTGAATTGTGATTATAGAAAATTCTAAGAATCTATTCACTTCAGTCATCCATAAGAACTTGTTTATTTCTAATTTTTTAAAAACCCTACATGTATACATGTATGTTTTAAAGATGCATATATGTGTGGATGTAACTGAACATTGCAGGCCTATAGATTAAGGTATACTATTCCAAGGAAAACACGTAGGTAGCCTACAAGTGTTTGTGAAAGGAAAGCTGAAAACAAATCCCAGATATTTTCCGTTCTACAGAATTAGCAACAATATGTGAATACTGAGTTTCCAACTGTTTTGGGGACCAGGGAAAAGAAGTCTTAAGTCCATGCTCTCCTAAGATGGAGAGCTGGAGCTAAGATGGAGGATCTAAAATGGAGGCCAGAACCCAAAATGGAGGATGAGGGCGAAGATGAAGCCAGGCCAGGATCTAAAATGGTGGCTCAGAACCAAGATGGAGGGCAGGGCAGGATGGGAGATGGAGGACAAGAACTAAAATGGAGGGCAGAGAGTTGTGAAACACTCTAGAGTATATCAGGATCTCTGACTGCAGATCATAACTATTTCCCCATCCTACCAGCTAAATAGCGGTCCTTAGCATAGACAGAATATTTTAAGGTGGAGTGGAAGAATTTCAAGCCCACCCCCTGAGAGGATGTCAGCCCTGAAAGTTATACTTTGGCTCATACCAAACAGAAACTTAAAATGAGCGCTGGCTAACGGTGGTATTTAGCACTATACCTGACCTATTGCCTTCTGAACCCAAGCCTATGCCCTCAGCATGGCTGTGGCTTTCTAGACTTCACCTCCTGCCAAAAGGGCTCCCCTGGTACGACCGACAAGTGGGTCTACCCTGTAACAACAGGGCCTTCAGTCACAACTGCTCACATAGAAACCCTCAGCCTCGGGCTAACATGGAAATAGGAACGGTTGGCTGTACCGTTGGATGTCTAGATGCAGATGGTTATTTCGACCCAAGAAGACAAACTCTTCTGGGTTTTCTGAACCTTTGGATGAGTTCTTCATCTGTGAGCAGCTGTATCTACTCTCACAGAACTCCTTCACAGACATTATCTACCATCGTCCACTCATTCCCTGTGTCTGGTTTTGATCATGGGCCACCAAGGGGAGCAACCATGTCTTAGACATCAGACTTCCCCACAGGGAAGGGCACATATCAAGCTTTCAGTGTATATCTATTGAATGATCGAATGAATGAATGAATGAAAATGCCCAAATCAAGGCAGACTCACCGACCCGGGAAGGACCCAATCTTCTTGAGAGGCGTGGTAGACGCGTGGGCAGCTACTGCGTGCATAGTGAGGCTACTAGGTGAGCATAAAGGAAACAACATTTGACACACAATTTGACTGGAAATTTGGAGGCAATTTATCAATGAGGGAAAATGGGCTCGTGTGTAGTAGACTAGATAGTTTCCCATGTTCCTTGCCAAGGTGAACATAATTTTCATATGAGTAAACCTGAGTTCTGCCAATGGTCAAAAATGTGAGAAATTAACGTGTGACAACTGTTTTCATTTGGAACTATGCTAGAGTTAGTCTCTTCCTAAATCAGGCGTGTCAATTTTATGCTAAATTTCCATTCAGCACTCCCCACCAGTCTTCCTTCCTAAAGAACCACTGTGACACCCCCCACTCTGGTGACTCCAAAATATCACAGAGGGCTCATTGTGTGAGCACCCGTGTGCTGAGTTCCTTCTCCTGGCTATTAGGACAGCAACTGGGCGCTGTTTTTGCTAAGTCTCAAAGCAACAGAAATTCAGCTCAAATCAATTAGCAACACATTGCTAACTCTTGGCATTTGTTGGGTGGAGGATCAAGAACTTTTCCTGAGAAGGAGCTCAGCAGGGGTTAGCCTGGGAGTCCCTTCTTCTCCCTGGCCTTTGCTTGGGTCTAAAGACCCAAATGTAGAAGAGCAGGGTCCTAACCCTACCAACCAACCAAGACAGCATTTGTGTAGGTTTTTTTTGTTTGTTCGTTTTGTTTTGTTTTTGCTTTGCTTTGTCTTTAAACTTGACCTAGTGAATACAGCACAGGTCACAGAGAGGCAGCTAACAGAGTACTTCCCTCACTGCCGCCAGGGTGCTGAAGCTGTGCTCTCTTGACTTGTGTCTGGCTATGGTGTCTCCAGCTTGTGCCCTGACCCTGCCATCAATCTTGTCCTGTCTCCTCTGGCTTAACCCACCCCCTCCTCTTCCTCACTAGAGAGAATTATCTTCCCTCTCAACTGAAGGTACCCCAAGAGAATAAAAGTTGTTTTTCAGAGCGGGGTGGTGGGGTAGAAGAAAGGACGGAAGGGAGGAAGGAAGGGGGAAAGATAGCTAACAATGCCTATATGGGACCTAGCTGGAGCCGAGCTCTGCACATCGACCTGTAGAGCTCTCAGGATTTCCTTCATCTCTAGAATGTATACTCAATGTACCAAGTGTTCACTTTAGCCTTAGGTTTGCCCTGGCTTTGTTCTGGGTAGTTATTAAATCAAAGGACTCACGAAGACAGGGTGGGTTGTTTTGTTTTTCTGCTTTTGACAAAAAAGGTCTGGGTGTGCCAGATTGCTCAAAACAAAATAAAGCAAAACCACTAAGTGGACAAGACATGTGGGAACCCTCGGAAAAATCGGGTTGTGGGAGGGGTGTGGGGGGGGGATCCTAACTTCAAAATTAAACAGAATCACTTGGGTTCAGGTGAGAAGCATTGAAGAAAGCCAATGGGGTGTGTTGGGAAAGAGCAGCCAGAGGGCAGACATCAGAGGACCATGTTGGTTCCATTCTGCCTTCTGGTCCCAACTCTCCCAAGTGGGGTCCTGAAGTCTGGCCAAGCTCCGAAGCCTCCTTCCCTCTTCCTCCCTGGTTAAGCCCAGCCAGCCCTCAGCTCTTCTGAGCTCACTATCAGCTGTCCATCTCTGCTTGGACAGCTATCATTCCTTGAAACCTGATCTCCTCCAAGACTAGAAGTTTCCACAGGGCAGGGAGTTTAGCGCCAAACTTGGCAAAGGAGTCCCTCCCATTTTCCTTCTTCTAACCTTGCCTTGCCTTTGGTTATCTTACTAATTTCTGTGCTTATTTTTGCCAATCCCTTTCTATCTCCCATTCCTTCTTTCCCTCCCACCCCCCAATAATAAAGAACCTGCAGGGGGAGTTGATCTTAACTTGCAAGGGGGAGAGAGAGAGAGAGAGAGAGAGAGAGAGAGAGAGAGAGAGAGAGAGAGAGAGAGAGAGAGAGAGAGAGTGAAAAGGCTAAACTAAGGCAAGGGTCTGTGAAGAGATGAGCTGGGCCTCTGCATGTGTGCTTGGGTGGACTGAAGCCAAATAACCCCCCCCCCTGCAAACAGCATGGTTAATGAACACTAGCTACGCATCTGGGTGAGGAGCTGAAGATAAGTAAAATCAAATGGGATAAGGGGTGGGCCGGGGCGGGGGCTCTTATAATCTTAGAAAGTCTTTTTAACAATAAACATAACTCCTAAAAGAAAAGGGGCCAGGCCAAATTGGAGGGATGTGAAAGTGGGCATTCTGTCCCCAAGAGAGACTAGGGGCTCTAGGAGACTGTGGTCCCTGACAAGAGAAGGGTCTATGTGCTTGAAGGGAGGCTGCAAAAGAAACCTGTCAAATAATAACGGCTCAAAACCTATGTCCCCCTCCAAAGCATGGCGTGGCTCCAATGGTGCTCAAACTAAGCACCCAGGGACCCAAGACAGGATGGGCACTCCATCCAAGGACACTCTTGAAAAGTGGGGCTGTTTTCTGTTTGGGTTTTCTACATTTGATCTAGAGAACTCTACCAGTTCCCACATTTGCTAGCAGACCCAGCTATTCTGAGCTCTTTGCTGACCTCTGGTGGGTAGGAACTCCACCAGCCCAGAGAAGGTGCTAGAAGGGGTTGCGCACCTATGCCCGTATCTACTCTAACACTTGGGAAGGGGTGGTGTTAATACCTCACTGCTGCTGACCTTGAGGGTCACATACCAGAAGCCCTGGGGTGGGTGTAAAGGATTGAGAAAAGCCTTTTGAAGTTTTCAGGAAAAGAAAACAAGCAAGCAAACAAAAACTGGACAAGAGGAAAGAATGCTTTAATAAAGTTTGAAAAGAAAAATTTGAATAGCAGAGTAGGGGAAATGTGTGCCTCAATTAATGCTTTTAATTGTGTGTCCCTCTGATGTTACCTTTTAGAAGAAGAACTAGAGGAGAAGCTGCCAAAATGGAGCACCGAGGCCGGCCTTAGTGGGGGAAGGAAGGGGTAAGTTCCTAGCAAGAAGCCTGTGACTCCCGCCTGGGAAGCCCATGTGGCCTTCCTCAGCTGCTGTGGAGCAAGCAGGGCCAAGGCATCAGGGTAAGTGCAAAGGTACTCTCCTTGGAAACCAGGAACCACAGTGTCTAAAAATGCCCTCTCCTCCAGGGAGGCTTCTTGGATTTCTCCTGGAAACCTGTGTCTGTATCTCTTTCCTAGCCCTCTATTGGGTGGGAAATGATGAACTTTCCAAACTCTGCTGCTACACAAAGTGGCTCCCAGTATGGGGACCCAGGAATGCCTAGCCATTTGTTAAAGAACAAAGGACTAAGATGTTTTTCCTACACCATTTGCCATTTTGGTAATGACACATTCAAAAGTGCTTGTGTGTGATGCCTGGGTACTGACAAACCTCTTCAACTTTAAACTTTTCTTAAGAGAATTAATGGGCTCTAAAATGAGAAAGAGTTCCCCCCCCCCCGTTTCTTCCAGAGGAGGAAAACTGGGATCTAAAGGGACAAAAAGTTGTGCCCAGGGTCTCAGAACTGGCTCCTGGCAGAACAGGGGCTCTACTCTGTTAACCAAGAGACAAAAGCCCTGAAAGTAGGGGCTGCCGGGTTTCTCCCATTGTATTTTATCTTTCTGACCTGCCTAAGGTCTTCAAAGCTCCCCAAATATAGGTATTTGTCCCTAGATACCAGTTGCTAAACTGAAACCCTTTAAAAAACCCGTATATTCCTAAGCCTGGGGCGGGACTGCATTCCTGGGAAGGGAAATGAAGGGAGGGGGCCCCACAGTGCTGCCTGAGGCAGGCGCAGGCGCACAGAGTTTCTTGAAGCTGGCCTCTCAATTGTAAAAGCCGAGCGCCATCTGCCAGCCGGTTCTGAACAGCTTTGCTTTGTTAATTTTTCCCTACTCTCCCGCCTTAAGTAGTGGGTGGGTGTTTTCCTTTCTTTCTTTTAAAATGTATGTGTTTTTTATATATATATATAAATTCTGGCTTAGAAATGGGACCCCCTACACAAAAAGATCCTACTTTAAAAAAATCTGAGTATAGAGAGAAAAATAAAATAGGAAAAAGAGAGAATGGGAACAGGGCAAACAGGTAAAATTCCTCAAGGGCGTTTATTTCCTTTCCTGGACTCTGAGCCCTGTGAACTTTGGGTGCAAATGAGATGGCCCCCTTCTCTACCTAAGGCAGCCGCCCTGGCCCTTTCCTCCTCCTCCCAGAGACCCCTACTCCCCACTGAGAGCTTAACCTGTGATCTCCAGAGTGAAGGAGTTTGAAACTTCCTGTCACCTCGAGTCTTGCGGGTGAGCCTTGGCTACAACAGATTCAGATTTGTCTGCCGAGTAAGTACGAGTTTCTGCTCTGTCCCCCACGCATGTCCCCTACCCAACTTGTGCCTGCTTTATCTGCATCAAGGTGATGTGGGAAGTGTTTCTGCCCCACTCTTAAACGACTCATCAAATCTGGTCCCTCTTTGACCATGGCAGAACCTCAGGCCAACTTGAAGCCTTGTCAATATTTCAAGGCTCCCATCGTTAGCTTTTCTACATCACTTGGCAAGCGAATGGAATCCTAAAATCAAGCGCCGGAGAATCAAGGTCCCAGGAAACCCCTGATGCCTAAAGCCGGTGCTCTCTCCATCGTCTTAGGTACCCGCTTCAAAAGTTGAGGCATCTCTGCCCACCCCCCCCACCCCGTTTATCAGATTCCCTCTTAAGTGTCCGTCTTAAATCCGCACTTGCATATCTGTTGAACAAAACAAAATGATCTGCACTTTCCTTCTAACAGCTAAAAGGAAAGAGTCTGGGGTCACGTGACTGCTACAGTATAAATAGCCCAGAGCTTTTTTGGCCACCCAACTTTAGAAATTTCCCGCTAACGTCTGGCATTGGATATTGGGTTCCACCCTGAGTCTTCTAAGCATTTCCTTGGAAAGATGTTGTACTTGGTCCCAGGCAAAGTCTCAAAATCAACATTCTGAGGTTTTTTCCCCCCCCCGGAGTTACTTCTAGGATTGCTCAGTGACGAGTTTTTCCTGGTTAGGGGGCACTTCGGTTAGCAGAACCTGAAACGTTCGGATGGGTCTGCGGGACGGTTCCATCTCAAGTGATGCTTTCCCACCTGACACGGCCAGCATTTAACTGCTCAAACCACCAATTGTTTTTTACCACTCCCCTTTATCTTTCCCCTAGTAGCTAACTTTTCATTATGAAAATCTCAAGTTCCTTAAGAGGGGGGCTGAAAGGATGGGGAAAGTCTTCAGTTTCAAAAAATTAGAAACTGGGAGTACAATTCAGGGTCTGCATGGCTTAAAACCTGGATTCAGTCCCCAGCAGCCAAAGAAAGAGAGGTAAGGTGTAAGTTTGGCGAGTGATGACCTAACCCTCATCCTAGTGGGTAGACGTGGGTATGGATGTTGCTTTGAGATGGAGAGGCGTCAACGGTTTTATCAAAGGCCAAGTACAATATTTTTGACCAGGAAATGTCTTTGGTTGGATACTTCTATTGGCATCATTGTTTTCTTCCTCAGTGTAATTACTTTATTCTCTCTACTACCACTTGAAGGTGCCCTGGCATGGTGACCTTCCCATGGATGAGTGGGGTCCGTGTCCTCATGGCTGGTGTGCACAGGCTAATTCAAGACTCTTCTAGTATATTTGCAAGTATGCAGAAGGCGCAGGCGCTTCCCTCGCCTTCTGGAAATCCCTTCTGCGATAACAGAATTTACTAGTGCACACCAGGCAAGAGGGACACGGGCTAACATGACAGCTAATTACTGAGCCTAAAGAACCCTATGTGCGATGGTTAAGGGTTAATTGTCTATGCTTGCCCCTGACACTGACTGCCCATTGATTAGTTAGATATTGACCTGTCACAGTCATTGTTTATTTGCCTGAAATAATTTCTTCTTCTCTTCAATTTAGGGTCATCTAGGGGTCACTCTTGGAGATTTGTGGAAATTGCTTCTGTCCAAGAATGCAGGCCACTAAAATTAGTATGTACACCGCTGACTGGTTAGTAGAGGGACAGCTCTTCTTCAGAGGAACTGTTTATAGATGTACAAGTTATGCCATGTTTATGTCTAGCCAGCTTCCCCAGGACTAGAGATGGCTGTCTAGGCAGCAGCTCTCGACCATGGGTGACATTTGGTGTTGACTAAAGAGTTTTGGGTTGTCATACTGATGTTGGGGAGGTGGTGGTGGTGGTGGTGGTGTGCATGCGTGTGTGTGTGTGTGTGTGTGTGTGTGTGTGTGCGCGCGCACACGCGTGCGCGAGCGTGCGTGCAGTAGTGAAGCATCTATGTGCGTGGTGGTGACAGTAACGTGTCATACTGGTAGCAGTGGGTGTAGTCTGCGTAATGTGTGTGGTGGCGGTGGTGATGTGTGTGTCTGATATTGGATATCAGTGCACAGAGGGGTCTCCCCTCCACGGGAAGGAGGTGAGGGGGATGCTAATTGAGCTGCCTGGAGGACCTCTCGGTTAACAGATTCCCTTTAAATGTTCCTGAAATATCAGTGTATAACTACAAAAGAGTCATGTTGCTGCTTAAAATACAAGAAATGTGGGTCTGACTAAACTTCGGGGGCCCCTACGAGCCTCCTCTTTGGGGTGGGGGCAGCAGGACCCTCCCTCACCTTGCTGGGTGTCCTTGTCATTTCTCACTGGCAATATAAACCCACTGCCTCCCTCTGCTTATACTGTCTCACCATCTAGTGGTCACCTGAAATATAACCCACATTTGCTATCTCTGGGCTTTTCTATAAAGCCAGCCATGAGAAATTCTTATTTGAGGGGACAGTGGGCAGGAGACCCCTCTGCATAACACATGCAGTTTCATTGGTAAGCTATCTGAGCACACACTAGGCTCGGTAGAGCCATCCAGAGTGCAAATGCAAGGAGTTAGGACGTACACTTCCCACACATTCTGAAAACAATAGCAGCACCAATGAGCAACAAACTTGAGGGGCTAATTACAAACAAGCTTTGCCGTTCCTAAGAAGCAACCCTTTGAGCTTTGGTCCTATCCCTCTGGACACATAGAGGTTGACACACACGGTCACAGACTGAGGACAGTGCTGGTTTGAAAGGACGTGCGTGAGTGGATGGTCCCTAGCAGCTACATGCTGCCCTAGGGACACCATTTACTCTTGATACTTTATCCTTTGGGGGGGTAAGAGGAAGTCATTTCTGTTTTGTTAGGCAGCGATGAGACCGGTAAGCTACTTTTACTGCCTTAGAAGCCAGGGTTCAGACCTGAGAGATGGATCTCAGGAACTTAAGAGGACTCAACATGTCCACCAGGTAAGCTGCAGGACGCTTGCCCCCATCTCTTTCGCAGCCCTGGGGTCCCTGACTCATCTCAGTGCCTAGCTCTGGGTCTTGTGTGTCGTGGTGACCATTGCTGTTGACATTTGTGTAAAGAGAATCCGGTTTGGGACTTACCTGTGTGCAGGTTACCTGTAAGAATGTCTTCACAGTTGTTTACACATTAGTGACCAGTTTGACATGAGGCAAACTGCTCACACAAGGGAGGAGGAGAGAGGTGGTCAGATCTTTTGACAGAAGGGACAGGCAAGAGCCAGCAAGTTGGGAGAGAGGCTCCAGCCGACTGTTCTGGTGTCTTCGTCAGAGGTCACACGCCCTCAACAACGGCAGTGTGCAAGCTTGACCGTAACACTCCTGAGAAGGTAGGTATATAAGCTTTTTCCTTCCCATTATCAACTCAGTGGATAAAGTCTGAAGCACTTACTGTGTCCCACACTCAAAAGGTGTGTGACAGTGTCAGAAACACTGACTGATGTCAAATTTTAAATCACATAACAATTTATATTACTTCTATACGTCTCTCCTCGTCCCCAAATTGAATCATTAACATTTAGTAAAAAAATCCAATGTTTGGGATTGGTGGGCAGGATTCTCCAAGTCAAAATACTCCTGAATTCTCCTGAGCTTTAACAAATTCACTTTGTAATGCAGTTTGGGGTTTTACCTCTAAGTGCAACAGAAGCATACTTCCTTAGTTTTCGTTGCTCTGTCACAAATCACTTGCCTGATGTTCCTCCTTGGTCACAGCTTCCAGTGTGGCACATGCAAAACACTTCCAATAATTCTAACTTGTCAGAGACCAAAGCATCCAAGCCTGTGATAGTTGGCAATAATCGAAAAGTTAACATTGGGGGAAGGGGGTGTGTCCTTACCTGTTTCTTGGGGAGTCTTGGTCTTGTCCTCTTCCTGTTCCACCAGCTGGCCTGCTTCATCGGTGATCTGGTTACTGGGAGGGAAACTAAAGACACTTTTTTTTGCATGTAAAATAACCACATCCCAACCCCTGGGGCTAAGTAAGAGTTCTGAATTAATTTACACAGAGGTAGCCAATGACAGGGGGTGGGGAGTAGGGAGGAAGGGTGAGCAAGAATGACTGACGGTGCTTGTTCAGGATTGGCGTGGGGGCAGGAAGTGACCCTTTCAGGAAGTTTTCTTCCTCTTCTGCCGCATTATCCTAAAGTTGGCAAGATGCCATTTGTCTCTTGACTTGTGTTACAAGCCCTGGTACACAGAGTGCACTATGAAATGTAGAAGCACGGGGTGCCTAGGCTTGAGCTGACAAATCTCTCGTTGAGATTGCACAAGAAGTAAAACCTCCCCCTGGAACAAAGACAGGAGGAGAAGAGGCAGGGGGCTCCTGAGTGTGAGACACACTGGACTCGCAGCTAATAAGAAGCTTCCTTCAGGTTCTGGCTCTCCTTTGAGGGAATGGAGAAGAACAAGGCCTCTTCCGGGATAAGCCCCTCTGGCCAGCCTGGGCTTGAGGCTGCCCACTGGGATTCTTAAGCTGCGTAAAGATCTCAAAAGATTCTTCATCTGAAATTACAAAAGAAAGGCCAGATCTATGTTCTTCTCATTCCCTCTGAAGAGCTTGATCCTAGGTCCGCAGGTCGGCCTAGGGCTATGGTGGGAACAAAGGATGCCTTCCATGCGGTGAGCTGAAGAGCTTGCCAAGGTGGGTGTCGGGACCAGAGCCTGCGTGTTCCCAGGAGGCCCCACAAATGCTCACTGCTCTTAGCTTCTTCCCTTTGGCCCTGTTGTTTCCATTTGGAAAACTTTTACTTTTCCTGTGGAGTTTTATTTTAAAATAGGCAAAAAGCAAAAACAAAAACATACTAACTTTAATTTCATTAAAACCCTGGGAGGGGGAAAGTGCATTTAGCCTGTGTCACGTCTTTAAAAAAAAAAAAAAAAAAACAGAAACTAAATTTCATTTGCTATTTGTATGTCTCCTGAAAGGGCACAGAGACATTTGAAAAGCTAGAAAAGGGGTGGGCACATTTAATTTGGAGAGGGAATTGATTTAAAAAACAAGAGGGTATACCTAGAATTGGTGGTTCAATTTTAATCAATTAGGCCATCTTCTTAAAAATTTTTTTTGTTGTTTAACACAACTTTCCTACATTAAAATAAAACATCAAAACAAATGACGTTCAAAATCATGCATGGGTTCTTGATAAATGGAAAAAATGGGACTTAGCTGTGAACTGAAAATGAAGATGGCTTTTAAAAGCCAGGAAAAGAAAGTTATTTGGGGCCCTGTATTCCCTTAACTAGGACTCTGTATACTGTAGCATTGCCTGTTCAGGAATGTATACAAAAAAGGGCATCACATTGTTATTATTAATTAATAGTATTATTAATATTAATAATATTAAGTAATAGTAATTAACAAATATCAGTATTAATTAATAATAATTGCTGTTGTTGACGTTGATGCTACAAGCGTGAGCCCTGCATAAAAAAAATATTGGGAGGTTTTTCTCAGAAAAGATGTAAAGTAAAACCTACATTATTTAAAAAAGAAAAAAAGAAGAAGAAAAAAAGTATTCTAATGTGTGTGTGTATGTGTGTGTGTATGTGTGTATGTGTGTGTATGTGTGTGTATGTGTATGTGTGTGTGTGTGTGTATGTATGTGTGTGTGTGTATGTGTGGGTGGGGAGGCAGATGAGATGAAGCAAATGTGGGTATTGAATTTCCACAGCAATGGCTTCCCAAAGGGGGCAGCATACATTGCATGTTCACTCGGTAGACATTCAGTCAGTGGCCTGCCAGGGCCTGGCTGGAATTCAGAAAGCAGCAGGCTGTTAGACACCTGTCGTCAAGCAAGGGATTTTAAGATCACAGGGAGCACTCAACAGCAGTCATGCCCTCGGTTTAGAGAAAGCCATGGAGAATCTTTCTTGTGGGCTTGGTGAGTGGCAGCATGTCAGAACTAGAGGCCTGAGTTCTTCAAATACTCACCGTGCAACCTTTGGGAGAAAAACAAAGCCCCTCACATTTAATCTCTGTGATGTGAATGGATGCTCTTGTGAAACGGGCATGCTGTGGTGCTCTCTCTGCCCAGAACTGTTTCAAAGGATTAACATGATGAGACAGAATGCTTTTAAAACTGCAAACTGCAATTAGAACATGCTAACCACTAACAATGCTGAGAGCGTCGAGGGTCCCCTACCCTTCTCGAGGCAGGAAATGGTCCCTGTTGTCTGTGCTTGTACCATATCAGCAAATTAAAAATAAAATTTGCCATTTAGGGGAAAAATGTTTTTGAGATAAATAGAAATTTTTTTAAAGGGGCCTCTGTAAAACGTGGATGTTACCGAGAGACAGGGAAAGGCAAAAAAAAAAAAAAAAAAAAAGTAAAATTGGGGGGCAATAAGCTATGCCCTTCCCACGGCAAACAGTTCAGTGGAGGCATTGTGAATTTAGAAAAAAAAAGGCTGCATTAAAAAAAAAAAAGCACTTTGTACACTGAGATGCAGTGCAGTATTATACCACTTGGCAGCCAAATAAATTATTATACAATTAATTGTGATCCAATATATAAACAAGGTATCACTACGGAGTGGTTATATTATGTATAGTGTTTACCTACACAATTGTAATAAAGGCAAGAGATACTAAAAATTTCTGATCCAGTAGCTCCGTTGCAATTCAAGGAATAAAACCTAAATGAGGTTTTGAAAAGAGAAAAAAAGAAAGAAAAAAGGTCTAACCTACAAAATTATTTTAAGATAACAGAAACATGGAAACAGTCTGAGACTAGCCTGCATTACAAAAAACCTTAGCTCTCTAGACATTATGGAATTTTTATTAAATTATCTTTATTTTTCTATCTTGCATCTATTTTTTAAAAAAATAATTCCAGCAATATATTTGGGCAATAAAAACAGCATGCACACAGAAAAACACTTTTTTTTAAAGCAACAGATGAATCTGCATGTTGACAGGTGAATAAACATGTTCCAGGATGGTCATGTGACTGACAGATGAAGAAGCATGTTCTAGGATGGTCATGAGGTCTGTATGTTCCGGGGTCAGAAGACATAGATAGCTTGTTTAGCACGGTGGAGCTAGAGAGTTAGTAAAATGTCTTGTAAATGTGAGTAAAAACCCTTCCCAGTCAGTAACAGGGACCCGGAGACCATCCCTGTCTTGTCACTTTAGCAAAATGAAACCAGCCTGGTGGCAACTGCAGTGTTCTTTGACAGACAGCACAGCTGCAGTGTCACGTAGCAGGAGCGATGGCCATCTTACTTCAGGCTCAGGCGAGGCCTAGGCCAAGTCTGAGCAGCCTGGCCCTGCTGTGGATGACGCTGCATCCAAAAGGACATAATGGCTGACATCTACAAAGGACAGTAGCAAGGTACCCCAGCAAATGTGCTAGCGTTTTGGTTTAATTATCCCCTCTAGGGGGAAAAAAAATCTAGGAGAAGCAAGGGAAGCGTCTACTATTCTGAAAAAACAGCCTGGCCCCAGACACGGGGTTTGGTGCAGAGATCTGCACCGATGGGTACCATCAGCCTCCACCCTCTTCTCCCCTGCATGGTAGGGGGGCTAGACAGAAGACCCAAGTCCTAGTGCTGGAGGGCACTTAAATGACAATTTCCTAGGAGAGTTTTGTTTTTTTTTCAAACGAGGCAAGCGAGGCCCCAGGATGTAAGAGACGCTGTATTCAAATGTGCACAGTCACTGGGGCCTTCTATCTGCAGACATTTGTGGGTGCCCCCCCCAACTCACAGATCAGCTCCTAGGAGTATGGAAAGGGAACTGCAGTGAGACCAGAACCTTGTCATGTAACGTACTATTGTTTTTCATGGAACGGGAACATTTGAAATTTAAAAACTATTTCCCTTATCATATGCTTGAGTCAATGATACCAGTTATTTCCCCAGGAAGGCATACATGAAATGACCCATCTAAAATCATGACTGGCGGGGGGGGGGGGCACATCACAACAGCACAGTCACGTCACCAATGTCTTTAATGAACACCATCACAGATTACCAAGTATTTAACAGACAAATGTAGCGTAGCCTCAGAAACTGTGATCCTGAGATCCCTTGTCAGGTATTATTAGAGAATAAAATAAATTAATTGTAGAGATTCACTCGTGAAGATTTTATTTAAGCCACAGGTCCAGACCATTGTTAACTGCTGTTCTGATTAATCTGGCAAGAAGAATGAATGCCTCAGGTTGGAGATGAGAAGTCTGGAGCGGGGAGGGGCTCTGGCTGTGCAATGAGGGGAGGGGTCTTGATGAGGGGAGGGGACATGGAAAGTTGGAGAGTGAGTTGCACAGATGGGGGGGTGAATGAGGACTTCCAAAAGCACCCATCTGGCTGGCATAACGTTTGTTTAGCCGTCATCCTAAAGAGCTTTATTTTTTTTAGCCCCAAACTGATTTAGAGAAGATCTTACCTTCCATTCTCTTCCCCCCAGCTAAAGCTGCTTGAAAAAAATGCATATGCAAACATTTACACAAGTAATATTTCCTGTTTCCCATGCACTGCCCTCATATTCAGTATGCACTCAGAGTATTTAATTTTTTATTTTAATTGCAATTAAAATACAAAGGCAACATTACGCTCCCACCACACAATTCCCAGGCTGTTTAAACCAGGCCCCTCCTACCATAAGCTGTAAAAATATAAGTGATTGGCTTACCTCGGGCTCTTCACTAAGAAGAAAATTACTTCATATATTTTTTAAACCCAGCCACGCCCACCCCCTTCAAAGCAAGTCCGTGTGTTTACAATGTGGCCTTGCCAACAGGGCTAAAATGCCCCCCCTTCTTCTCTCCCCCAAGGTGGGCCCAGTGTGTGCGTGCATGTGTGTGTGTGTGTGTGTGTGCAGAATACAAAATACAGACGTTGTTCACAACCCCAAAGCCCCAGATACCTGAGTGTCTGGTTTTTCAACCGTTAAGGCGGGAGGGTTTGACGTACGAATTGAGAAGTAGGAATTGCTTAGTGCAAAGGAAAAGAGAGAGAAAGACATATGGGGTAGGGGGGAAGGTTATGGAGACCCGCAGCTGCGGCTCCATTCCCCCCGGCCAGCGGCCCAGCAGATTACCCAGGATGCCCCGCCACCTTTTCCTATGCGTTTTCCCTCTGCTAGCTGCAGAGAGCCTTCGCACAGGTACCACTGAGTGAGTGTGAGTGTGTCAACACGGAAAGTTTTGCTCGCGCCATGGCGCAAATCACAAGGCAGCCTATTTCACAGTACAAGTCCACAATCGGCGGGTACATTGAAGATGCCAGGGATGGAAACTGGGACACACTGAGCATGTCATGCACAGGCGAACATAGAAAATGGACACCAACACACACTAACAACAAGCTGTCTGAGTCGAAGCAGCCGTGCCAGGCGAGGCGGGGGCGCGCTCCCCGATGGCCCTAGCCCACCGCGGTCACGAACATTTAAGCCGGGGGAGCCCCGAAGGGCCCTCCCCAGCACTTCCTGGCTCACCTCACGCCCCCGCCTGTCCAGCCTAGGATCGCTGGCGCTGGCGCTGGCCTCCGGCCGGTAACGACCCTCAGTGTCGCTCGGCACCACTTTTCTCCCTGGAGGGCATATACTTCGGCCACCCGAACCCTCAAAAAATCCCCTCTCCCACCCCCAGGGCATAGTTGGGGGCCCTCCCTGGAACTTCTAACAGGGTTTCCGGACCCCTCCTCCCGTGGTCAAGGCCCAAGCCCCACCGGAAGGCCATACCACCCCCTCCCCGGGTGCCCAGGGCGGCCCTACTGCCCAGGGGCAGAAGATGCCGCATTACCTAGAAGCAGCAAGCGGTGCGTACACATGTAGTCCATCTTCTCCTCCTCCAGCTGCTTGTCGATGGCCTTGCTGCGTTTCTTATCTGCGCGCTTCTGCTCTCGCATCTCAATGGCCTCTTTGCGCATCTGTTTGCGCCTCTCTTCGAAAGGATCCTTGGCCTTCCCTGGGCTGAGGGAGCGGGATCTCTCGGAGAGACCGAAGCAGCTTCCGAAGGCTCTGGCGAAGAAGTTGCGGACTGGGTTGCACCCAACCGTGTGGCTCCTGGGCTGGCCGGGGCGGCGGTTTCGCCGCAGAAGGTACTGGAAGCAGCCGTTGGCCCCTTCTTCCGACTCATCACTGGAGGAGTCGATCTCGCAGATGACGGATGATACCTCCTCGTACCTGCAGCAGCTTCGGCCGCGCTCATACTTGTCGGGCCAGGCACTCGGCCTCGGAGCAGGCCGCGGAGTAGGCGGGTCAGCAACCTGGATCTCGGGGCTGGGGGGTCTAAGATGGGCCCTGCTTGGGGCGAGAGGGATTGGCCGGGTAGACATTGACCGGGCGACAGAGATTGGGTGGCCGGCAGCGACTGCCCGGGCAGCAGAGGCTGCCCGGGCGGCAGCAGCTGCGCGGGCAGGAAGGGATGCCCTGGCGGCGGGAGTAGCCGAGAGCGAGCGGGCTCCCCAGACCAGAGGACCTGCATAGGCTGCCCTAGCGGCAGTTGCTCTAGCAGAGGCTGGCATCGCTGGGGCGCCAGGGACTGCCCCAGCGGCCGGATGGGCTCTAGCAGTGGGGATTGGCCGGGGAGCGGGCTCCGGAGGGGTGATAGGGGCTGCCCGGGCGGCAGGCTCTGCCTTAGCAGAGACTTCCGCCGCTGCGGGCTCCACCTGGGTGACGGGGGCTGCCCCGGAGGCAGACTCGGCCGTGGTGGCAGGGACTGCCTCGGAGGCTGCTTCAGCGGCTGGCTCTCCTTCACCTTCAGACTCGGCAGGGGCGGCTGGGACGACCGGGGCTGCACCTCCATCAGGCTCCGCGCGGACAGCAGGGGCTGCTCCGACTTCTTCAGCATCGGTTTGGAGATCCGCGGGTGTTGCTGGGGCCGGAGGAGATCCGCCGGCAGAGGCAGCATCAGGTCCGGTAGCGTCGGTCTGGGTAGCGGCAGCTGGCTTGTCATCCATGGTTTCTGGCTGCTGGGTGAAGGATCCGTCTCTTCTCTCCGGAGAAGGGACTTTTCCTTCCACCGCGGCTGCGGTGGCAGTAGGGCTTCCTTCCATCTCGGCTGCTTCTCGCTCAACTGGGGGTCTCTCTGCGCGCTCGCTCTTATCTGGGGCTCCGGAGACTTCGATGGGCGGGCCAACACTTGCGATTGGGGGGCTGTCCATATTGACAGCGGTGTCGTCGTCGACCCCAGAGGACGCTCTGCCAATCTCAAGCGGGGGTCTGGAGATCTCCATCGGGGGGGTGTCGCATGCGAAGTTAGGAGGAGATCTGATAGCTTCGCTGAATGGTCTGTCAATGGCGCTGTGGACCAAGAGGGGAGGCGCGTTCTCGGCGGGAGCGAGACTGAGCGCACTCGGGACCGCGACTGTCGGGAACTCGCCGCCAATGCCGATTTGTCGGGTGACTCGGGGGAGGCCTGGGGGTGGGCTATCGCCCCCAAATTCTTCTCCATCGAGCCCAAACGGTACAGATTCTTCAGGTGGAGGGCTGTAGTCTTCTCGGAAGCCAGCGTTTGCAAATCTGACATCCCCGGGCTCCGCGGCAAGTGCGCTGAGGGCCCCTGCTTCCGGACCTCCTGGCGCAAGGTCTGGGACTTGTAATGGCGGCTGGCTAAAGACTCCTTGGGCGGGCTCGCTGAACTCAAATGGCATAGCTTCTTCTGGTGGGGGGCTATAGGTTCCCAGACCTGGGGTCGCACCACTGGGGGTCCCGGGCTCCAAAAGCGCTGGATTGAAGGTTTGGAGACCTGATTGGGTCCCAGATCTTCCAGGCTGCTCCAGGGTGGGCCAGAAATCACCGAGACTGGGCTGTTTCGTCTCAAATGGCATGGATTCCTCCGGAGGTGGGCTGTAGTCTCCACCCACTCGGACTTCCTCGAGGGCCTGGCTGAGGCCCTGAAAGTCATCTCTGGAGACCTCAGGGGGTCCGTAGCCCTCAGCGCCAGCCTCGTCGGGGACGGGCTCATTGGCAGACGGTTCGGTCTCCATTTCTTCGGCTGGGCCAAGCCCAGCACCGGGGGCAGCTGCCCCTGGGGCCTCCAAAGGTTCCTGCTCGGGCTGCTCCCCGACCTCACCGGGGATATCGTGTTGTCCTGGCATATCGTTGCCGCGGAGGCAGTTGCGCATGCCCATAACACGGTTGCGGTTTTTCAAAATGAATTTGGGGCTCCGTAAGACGGAGCACCCAGCCAAACTAGGGTGAAAAAATTTTTTCTTTTGAATTTTTCAAGATTTGGCTGGAAAGTTCTCCAGCCTCAGTTTCCAAACTTTGCAAGGATGGATGCCGAGAAGCTAAAACCCAGGATTGTGGCTGAAGTGGCTCATTTCTTGCTGGTTGGACCCGGAGCCTCCCAAGTCACCCGTCTCCCTTCAAGTTGCGGTCAGCCAGCCACTCACAGGGCTTTTCTGGCCTCTCTTCTTACTTTTCTAAGTTTGGCTCCGCCTTCTTGGCATCCAGGAGCGTGCCGATTCGTCTCGAAAATCGTTAGTAAAACTCTTTCTCTGCCGCCAGAGGACGCCGGTCTCAGTGGTAAGCCGGCTCCGGGAGCTTGCTCCCGGTGCCGGCTGTCCCCGACTTTGGGTAAGGGGGCCGATGAGCGCAGGCCTCGCAGGGACGTTCGGCTCCTTCCTCTCCTCTCCCAGACTGAGTCTGAGCCTCTGCTCCTCGCTTTTCCCTTGGCCAGAGAGAGAGCGCGCTCTCCTGCGTGGCTGGGACACGTGACGTAAGACGTGGGCATTGGTCTGACAGAGAACAGACGCTGAAACCCTCCCTCCCCATCTGATTCTTCCCGAAGGGAGGAGGGACTGCAGGAGGGCTTCGTCACCCCAGATTACCCCGGTATGCGGCAAACACCGTGTCTGTGGACCCTAGTCTCGGGCAGTTACCCATACTCAGCTCCAAGTTGGGGAAATGTGCCTTTAAGATGCTCGGGAAGGGGTAGAGGCACGCATAAAAAAATGCGACAGGTGGTCGCAAGCCCACCGGAAGGGCGGAGAAGGGAAGGAGGGCGAACGGCTGTGAAATACAAACACACAGTTTGTTTTTTTGAAATGCTCAGGGGTAATTTTATTGTTTTTTTAATGTTTTTGTTTACTGTTTGTGAAGGATAGTTCCCGTAAATCCCTTCAATGTCCCCTTCCTCATTACACACTTCCGGGGGGGGGTCTCAGTAATGGCTCGGCATGACGCAGTCAGGGTTCGCCTTGTTTATGTGGATGGTGACGCAGTAGAAATAAGGGTCTTGGCGGCACACTGCGGAAAAATCCAGCGATGACCCCTACTCAGTCAGCGGTTACCGCTGCCGCGGCGGTGCAGATAGGGGAGGGGGCGCGGGGCTTCCCGGAAGACCCCTACCTAGAGCAGGTCTCCGACTTCTGCCTTCTGGGGAAGGGTAAAGGGGGATTTAGGATACGGGTGGCGGCCGATTTAGAGGGGTCTTAAAAACTAGACAGCCCGATCCGCATTACCCCCCCGGCCAACCGTGCCCGCGGTCGGTCGTATCAGCGACCGACCAACCGACCGAGACTCGCGGCTTCCGGCTTGGGGAGCCAGCCTGCCGAGGATTCGGCGTTCGGTTCATCTAACCCCTCTCTAAACCCTTATCAGACCCCTGCCGACCCCTCTTCTTCTGGCGCCAGCACCATAGAGCAGAAGCTGTACTCTGAATTGCAGCAATACACCCAGGCAGCTTGTAGCGCGGTCACAAAGTCCACGGCTGCCAGCCAGGATGCGCGCCCCCGGCGGTGCCGCGCGGTGGGCTCTCAACCGCCAGGGGTAAACATCCGCATTGCCCGGTGGGCTCCGTGAATGAAACACAAAATGCCATAGGGCTGGGGTCTGCAGAGAAATTCAAAGCAAGGGCGGTTTTTATTGTTGTTGATTTTTTTTTTTTTTTTTTGCAGCTCTCAGATCAGAGCCTGGCGCAATGGCGCAGGGCATTGTCTTTTGTTGCAATGCAGCTGGGCAGCGGGGCAGGGGGTTGCCTGGGATACAGGACCCTAGGAGAAGAGCCCCAAGTGTGGAGAGGTACGCCGGGTGGATTGCAGCAACCCTGCACCATGTAGATGGCTTTGTTGCAAAACACATGCGGGTGCACCGCGCGGCGAGCTCTCATCCTCAAGTCTAACATGTCCCTCTTCCCACTGCAGGCTCGGCACAACACAGCCCCTTGCCTACAGCATCCACGTGGTCGCCCCGAGTACAGGAAAGCAGACAAAGTGCACCACTAGGCAATGCCTGAGACCTCCCGAAGGCGTGTGACCTCAGCTCTACGGTTCGACACGGTTCGACACACTGCGCGCCGAAACACTTTGAACTTTGGTCCAAAGTTCGGTCAACTACCCCCACGCAAAATGGCGAAAACAGTTTGAACACACACTGAATGGTCCAACTGGGTCTCAACCACCAACCCACTCCCCTCCGACCCCAGCGCCAGGTCAGCTATTGGGCTGGGGTCACGCCAATCAAGGATGCTTGGCGAATGAGCAGGGGGCTTCGGACCGGAAACCGGATATGGGTGGGAGGTCCAATAGGGGGCGCCGCGTTGGAACGCCCAAAGAGGTTGAGCTTGCTGGGTTGGTTGGAAGCGGTTGGGCGGGTGGGTGTATGGCGGCCAAGGCCTAGAAGGCCACGGTCGGCCGTGAGTTCCTTGAGGGTCACCCTTATTTGATGCCCTCAATCGCCAAGGCCAGGTGGGAAGGTCGGGGACCCCCCATGGACCACCCCTTGGGTTCATGATGGCGGTATGCTAACCCCCTTCACAGAGAGGGCTACCGCTGAGGCACCGTGAAGAGGCATTTCTGGGGCCTGGAGGTGGTGATCCAGGCCCCTGGAGAGACACAGACTGGAGGACAAGATGGACAGAGTTCATTTCCCAGGGATGCTGAGCCCTGCACGAGGTGGAAGGTCAGTGGACGCTGAGGTTGGAGACCCAAGGAGACCGCCACGCGGCTCCCTCGGGCTCCCCAGGCCTCTCACACACCCATCCCCAAAGCACCATTCATCCAAGAATGGGTCCAGATTCCCTTTGTTCAGGTGTTCTGATGATCTGTGGGAATCCTTTGTTCTATGGTCTTTCTCATACCATGCTTCCCTGATTGGGAGAAAGATCAAGATCATGCCAGTCTCCTTGGGAAGGAGTAGAACGGCATGAAAATGCAAAAGAGAGAGAGAGAGAGAGAAAGAGAAGGCCTCCAACAGGAGGGTTTGCAAAGACCGGATAGAGAAAATGGCGCCTGCAATGGTTCCTCCATAGAAAGATGTCTTGACCATGAATAGAAGGGGCGGGGCGGGGCACACCTTCACCTATCTGGAACAAAGAGTCCAACCAAAGGAAATCTGGGGCCTAGTTGCGGAAGCGATGGGACACCATTGCTCCTGTCTTGAGGCAGAGGGAAAGCAGGGGGGAAAGGAAAAAAAAAAAAACACTGGATGGATGGGCTTTCTGAAGACTCCATGCAGCATCCGGGCTATTTTGGCAGGAAGTGGAGAGGAGGAAATGGATTAGATGGCGAAAGGTGTGTTTCCCTCCCCCTTTGCAGATGAGGATTTGAGTCAAGTTTTTAGAAAAGGCAGAACCAACATGGAGGTTGGTTCCGATGGTGGGAACAAAGGAAGGGGGGGCGATGTGTGTGCACAAAGGCAGCAGCCGCGGAAGCCCTTTAGGGAAAAAAAGACCGAGCGAAGGGGGGCTTCTGAGGCCCCCAGGAGCCTCCCGTGGTAGACGGGTCACCAAAGGCGGAAGGGTCAAAGACGACAGTGCCTGGTGTGGACACTGGGAACTGCATGGAGAGGTCAGGGAGGGTCTGGGATGGAGGCCGCGTGATTTCAAACATGGCAGATGTGAGTCAAGATGGACGGTTTGAGGGAGATTTCTCCCAACCGATTTCTGGGAAGGAAAGGCCTGAAGTTTAGAAGGGTAGAAAGCACGAATTCAAATTGACGATCACCCTTACTAGGATTTGAGACCCCTGGATCAGATAAAAGATTCCTCAGTGAAGAGATAGATTTGATGTGAGAAGTATTACAGTTGGTGAGAGCAGAGAAGGCGCCAGAGGGTGATGGGGGGGTGCAGCCTGCACCCTGGCTTCTTGGCCTCTGCACTAGTGGCATGGTTTGGGGTCATTCTTTGCTATGGTGACTGTCCTAATGTGTGGAAAGATATTTTATTCCTTCCCGAGTCTATACCTTAGATACCACTAAGTATTCATAATAAAAATGTCCTCTCTTTTTTTTTTTCCGGATAGCCTCTGGGGTACAAAATCACCCCTGGTTGAAAAGCTAAGAATCTGGACTAACACTGGCTTTAATTTAAAGGTGAATTCATACTAGGAGAAACAGAGCTCAGTACTGATTGCCCCCTACCCCCGGGCTCGTTTCCCTATAGTGACCGAGCAAGTCAGTTGAATGAACGGAGCTGAGGGCTGGGCCCTGTTGTGTCCCCACAGCCAGTGTGCCTCCAGAGGGCCCGTGTTTATGAAGCTGAGCAGCACAAAAGACACCTGCCCAAAGGACTTGGGGACCCCAGGATGGTAAGAGTTGGAGGTGACCAGAGTATAGGCTGACCGTGGGTCACATCGACCATCGACGGGTTGGGCTGTGCAGTGAGCCCGTGGGCATCGGTGGTTTTGCTGGCTTGGTGCAAAAGTGCGCGTCTGACGAGGGGGTGGGAAGGATCCATTGGGAGTTGGTGAGTGCTGAGCCAGGGGGTCTCACCCTACTAGGACTAATGGCCTCCCATCATAACTGCACGCTAGTAAGGGACCTTTATCGTCCCCCTGTTGTTCCCCTGTGCACACACTTGTGTGCGGGCGTGTGCCCAGCATGCCTTTGCTGGGTTCTCTCCACTGCATGGGTGCCGTGAGCAAGCCCCTTTGTCTGCTGACCCAGCTCCCCCGCGAAGGACACTGAACTATCTTCCCTAGTCCCGTCGGTTTTGTAGTAGGGGAGGCGGTGAGTGTTTGGAGGTGCGAGGAAGGCGAGTTGGCTCCAGCCGTGAAGCACCGGGAAAGGAAGTCAGGACAGGCGAGTGCCCAAAGAAGGCTGAATAGGTGTGAGGCCCAGAAGCTAAGCCGCCGCTGCGGCCTCGTCCGCACGAGGAATGTGCTGCAGTGAGAGGTTGTAGGGAGACGGTGTCAGCTGGGGATCAGGGCTCCCTGTCTCAGAAAAGGATGGGGTCACTCATGCTTCGGTTGGGCTCTGCTTCTTGGGGCAGGGGGCGGGAATCAACCTGCTCAGTGCGGCTGGCCCAGATGCCCAAGTGAGAAGCCACCCTTTTGAAAACAGCACCAACTGAAAAACCTGTGCTCCCCCTTTTCTGTGATACCCCAGGATTTCACATCTTAGGCTTGTGGTGTTTGTTTATGATCAGCAATTATGTTTGTATTTACGTTTTAGGACTTTTTTTTTTAACGCAAAAGCCCACGGCCCAGCCACATATCAAGTAGCTGCTTCAGCTTTTCTTGATTTTTTTTTTCCCCTGTAGCCTCGGAAGAGAAAACAGAGTAGAAAAGACCCCTTGGGAGGAAGAGAGGGTAGAGTGATCAAGAGGGAAGGGAGCCGAAGCCAGGAAAAAACACGGCCATCGGCAGCAAAGGTTCCTTTTGGTTTGTGGCCTTGGGGAAGGGGCAGCGTGGAGGAGAGGGGAACCTTCTCTGTACATAGCTCAGGTTTGTGCCATTGACTTCCAGGCAAAGGAAACCGACACAGAAAAAAAGAAGAAAATAGAAAAAGAATTCAGGCAACCATGACATTTCAAAGCTTCTCAATGACAAAGATTTTCTGAGTGCTTCCCTTAGTAGCAATAAGACTTTGAAGCTGTTCAATTAATTATTGTTCAATTAAGACTGCTGTAGCCCCCTCCCCCCTTTTCTGCCAGCGTTGGCCGGTGGAGGCAGCAGCAGCTTACTGTTATTTGTGGAAGGGGGCTATGTGGCTGGCCTGTTTCAGGCCAACGCTAATTAAAGGAAAGACGCCTCTAACCGATAGGGCAAGATACTGGACTGGAGACTGATGGCGGGTGGCTATCCGGGGGATGAAATGATGTTTATGAATACAGACCATCAGGTCTGGATGAAAAATCCCGGAGAGGAATTGAGGCCCCTCGCTCAGGCTTGGTAGCGTTGGTTCACTCGAAGTGGCCTTCTTTGTAGAAGGGCCACCAAATTGTGCCTCAGCCCATCATGCTCCTGCCACTTGAACCCGCATGAGGTAGCCACACGGTGCTATGGCTTCTTTGTGCAGAGCAGCCAAGGATGCCACGGAGGCTATAGCGGGAGAAGTACCTATTTCAGATGAGGGGAAGGCTGCCGGCCGCAGGGTCAGGTCGGGTTGGAAGGAGTGGGGAGTGGGATCCCGGAAGGTGGGTTTAGTGGAAAGGCTATTTAAGGTTTCTGTAACTCTTGGTGGAAATTCCAGGCACCCTGAAAGCTTCTGGGGCCTGAATGCTATTTGAATTTAAGGCGAATGGTGTATTTCACCTTCTCACACAACCTCAATTACCCAAAGCAAATTTTCCTAACGAAGTCTAATTGGAACAGCAACATAACCCAGGACACACAGACAGATCTTGCCTAGGGGAAGGGGAGACCAGCCAGCTTTGGCCGACCATCAGCTGGGTCTGCACTCAAAAGTCTGAGAATACGGGAGCCTCAGAGGCTGGCCTTTGCCGAGTCAAAACCCAATGCTTGGGTTTTCAATTGTTAAATACAATTACTAGCTTTTTGGTTGATGCATTTGAGGTATTTCTACAAAAACTCCATTCTGTAGATGGAGTTGAAGTTGCTGGGCTAGGTGTGTGAGACTGTCGGGGGACAGTGACTTCAGGTTGGCTATCTGGAATCCTCACTAGCGGCCATCTTTGGCTATTAGAGGCGACGCCTGCTCCTTGTTGCACATGGTTTTAATCCCCTTCAGTTACCAGAGACTTGTGGCCGGCCATGTCTGACTGTGTCCTCAACCTTTTTCTTCCTCTTCTCTTTAAAATGCTTCTGCGTAGCCATAAATTTACTGGCTTTGTGACCTCTCTCTCTTCCTACACCGTGTCCTCGGCTCCCGCCTGGATGCTTTGAATCTCACCCTTTATTCCCTGTAATCCCACCACCTCCTTTGTCTTCCTCGTTTGCCTCAAATTACTGACTTCGACTATCCTGTGTTCCTAAAGCTTGAGTCTAACCCTGGGGCAGCCATGTCCCCTTTTCTGGTGTGTAATGCGCTCATCCTGAAATAGGTCCACAGGAAAAAACATACAGGCTGTGCCGCACTTGGAGCACGGTAGGCAGCCTCCCAGCTCCCTACAGAATGGTGTGCAGGAGAGGCGCCGACTGCCAGCCCCCTAAGGCGTCCTGTCTCCGTTGGCTGACCATTGTGTGGCTCCGCTAAGGCAGACTCTTGGATTTAGAGATCTAAGTCACTAGGTGGTTTACTCTGGCTCCCCGGCCATGTGAACTATCCTCCCTCCTGGTTGTAGAGAGGGATCCCTATCAAGAAGATTTTGAGAAAACCACTAGTAAAATTTGACCATTTTTTTTAATGCCTGAAAAGAGACTAAAACATAATATAAACTGTGATAGTAAGCCAGTCATTTAATTAGCAGAACCAATATTGGGGAGAAGTGTTTGCTTTGTTTGCCCCAGGCAATGGAGCCAAATTAGCCGTGCGTATGTGCATGTTTGCTTGTGTATGCGTCTATGTGAGTATTTGTCTCCGTGGTGTGTGTGTGTGAGTGTGTAACTCAGCTTTTACCAGACCTTGCAATGTATAAAAGATATGGTAGTACTAAAATTTTGTGGTGACAGGGACCATGAAAGAGAAGACTGGAGACAAGCTCTTGGGGGAGGGAGTGATAATGAAAACTAAATTAGATGGAGCCTCCAAGCCCACCATGTAAGCTACATTTCTCAATCGGCTGTCTCCCACAGTTGACAGCTAGCATCCCCGTGGATTTGTACCACAAGGGGAGAATGCGGGGTTTGGGGGGGAAACACACCACTCCCAACATTGACAGGTGCTCTTAAGAAAGCCCCCACGCAGAACACAGTGAATCCTACATTCACTCCCAACCTCTTAAATCATTTTTGCCACACGCTGAAAAGCATATCTGACAAAACCAATGTCAGACCAACACAAAACACGTTTCCTGGCGGCTGTCACTCTCTAGTCAATACACATTTGAGATTTGGGACTTCACTAGGGCTAAAGCCACTGGGTCTTCTATCAAGCCCTAGGACCATTTTTGTTCATCTAGTGCCTTTTAGAAGAAAGCGAGGCAGAGAGGGGCGCTAGGGAAGACGGAAGCCAGTCAGCAGGGCGGGTGGGACAGAGGCAGCCCGGACTAACCCAGTATCTTTTGTTGGTGACTCTGCTGCCCTGCCTGGGTTTGGATACCAGGTGCCAAAACCCCTCACTGTGGGTGGGGTCACATTTAACTTGAGGTTCCTGTCTTGTTTCTGGGCATTATTTTAGAGGGGGCGATATGTTGAAGTTGGCGTATGACATCGCTGGTCTCTAGCCCTGCTGGTTTTGATATTCGTGATTTCTGTTTGTGACAGATTGCCACCCTGCTTAGTGACAACAGAAAAATTATGTAAAATCCATAATTTAAAAAAACCACTTTATTCTTACCAGTGCTGATGTTTCAGATTTCTTGTTAACCGAATACAGCTGCTAAAAGGAAGGCTAAAGAGTCAAAGGCTGTGAACAATTCCAGACTAGAAGCAGCTTCAGCTTCAGGTGCATCAAATCAAAACAAAACAAAAACCTTAGCGGCCTCTTCCAGAGTTAGCATCCCCCATCTCAGCTTCCAATTCTTTTATTTATATATGTAATATATATATAAACATGGTTTTTTGATAAACTAAAAAATACTTACATCTGGGTTTTGCATCACACGGTATTTGAACTCTGCCACATAAAAGGAATTCACTTAAATTCAATGGTTAGCGCACCCTTCCCCCACAGAAGGAAACTTTTTCCATTAAGCAAATAATTAATGCAGTGAAGAATCCTAAAGTGTTTCAACTAGCTTTGCTGCCGACGCCCCGCCCCCGCGGCAGGGGTCTCGGGGTCTGGTTTTCCCAGGGCTTGTCTCCCTCAGCCACTCTACCTACGTTAAAGGGAAAGCTAGCCCATTCAAATGCTAACCCCAGCTTAACAGGGTGAGACAAAGGGCCGGTTGGGAGGCTAGGGAACTGTGAATGTTTGAGAACCTGCTAGAAAAAAAAATTCCCTGAAAAGGGAAAGAAAGTAGCTGAACTCCAGTGACTGGAGTCTCTATTTCACAGAGTGCAGGCTTGGAAGGTGTGTTTAGCAAAATCTTTCCTTGTGAGAGTGGTGGGTGCCTACCCAACTGCGCTATACTCCTGCATACCCCCTGGGTTTTTTCGCGTGAAGTCAGAGTAGCACTAGGGAGGGGGGAGGGCTCTGCTGGTGGGTAGCAGGCTGGGCTGCAAATACATCTGCTGTGACTCGGGTATACAGTGGAAGATTACTGAGAGACAGCAAAATGCGCGTTCCTATTTGGGTGCCCCGTGTGTGAGCCTGGCACACTGATATCAGTTAGGCTTTTTCGGGTTTTTTTTTTTCTTTTCTCTCTCTCTCTCTTTTTTTTTCCTGGACACAGGGTTTCTCTTTAACAGCCTTGGCTGTCCTGGAACTCGAGACCTGGTCTTGAAGGCAGAGTTCCACCTGCCTCTACATACCCCCACTCCACCCCCACCCAGTGCTGGGATTAAAGGCATGTGCCACCAAGCCTGGCTCTGGGCTTCTTTTTAAAGGAGAAACGTAGTCAAGGTGGGGGCTATAGGGACTGAAGACCCTTTTAAAATTTTATTCATGCAGCAACGAGGCAGCATTCTAATTTAGCTAATGAAGAACCCAACTCTGACGAAAACATGCTAAAAAGCGCGGCATCTCCACCTGTTAACTAGAAACCTGTTGCTTGGGAAATTCAGGCTACTAATACATTACTAGATAAAATGGCACCTAACGTCAAGAAAACGTCACCATCGTTTTATGTTTTCGAGAATTTTAACTTGGTAAAGATGTTTTTCACTTAGGCGATTTCACGCATTCAAGCCAATAGCCCCCACTTCCTTTCCGCGGGCTACCCACGCACGCGTCGTCCACCCACGCACGCATCGTCCACCTACGCAATTAGCCGCATCATCCACCTACGCAATTAGCCGCATTGCGTACAGCCCACCTCCACCTAAGTTCTGGGGACTGCGACGCCATCCCAGGTAACAGGGGACTATGTAATGCATTTATTCCTTTTAGCACTATTTCTCCTCTTAGGAGCGCAGGAGCCCAGCCGCCTTTGATTTCAAGCCTTGAAAACGCATTCCTTAACCAGATTATCCAAATCATCCCATCAAAGTAACTCAAGCCGCCGCCGCATGACCAGACGCACGCACTTAAAAACAAAAAAAGTTTCCAAATAGGAGAAATATAGGTGCATTTTACTTTTTATCGGCCTTTCTGGCCATGGTTGGAGAGGAAAGCATTTTCCAAGGTGTGTTATGTGCTTGTGGCAGTTTGGGAACTATCACTGCCGATCTCCCCTCAGGTTACTGATTCCAAATACAGCCCCGCCCGCGCTGAAAACGGCCAAAATGGCTGTAGCACGTCCTCCCTGCCCCCTCTGGGTCCTAAGCGCAGGATACAACATTTTCCCAACTCGCAAGTTGCACGATCTTTGGGGACGCCTTGGAAGGTGTCCAGATGTTACTCACGACCCCCTTACTCAGCCTATGCCTCGATCCACTTTACCTTTCCACCCAAAACTACTTGGTACGGCTCTCATTCCTTCTCCCCTGCCTCTAGGGCCTAGGCGCACAGCCCCAGACCTCTCCAGACAAGTCGGATCCGCCCAACCAGCTGCGCCTAAAGGTTAGCTGTACCCGTGTGATCCTGTCTGTGCTGCCAAGAAGGGCACCCTGAAAGGTCCCTGTACCTCCACTGTGTGCCCTCCAAGCACCATTCACTACAAAAGACACCTAGCCTAGCCTATCCACTTGGGAAGGTTGGCTCTAGGACGCACGGGAGAGGTGCGCGCGCTCTTTTTCACGATCTCTGGCATCCGCAAACCTCCAGAGGTGAGCGGTGCTGGCCGAGACTGCTTGCGCGGCGTGGGAGGCACTGGCTCCAGGGTCCCGCAGCCCCCAAATTGGCCATGCCGGGACCCGATTTCCAGGCCCCACGCCTGCTGAGCGCACGTGCGACTTTGCTCTGGAGCCTGTAGGCTCACCAGAGTTTTCACCCAATCCCAGCGCAGTTAGTTTACTTTCTGCGCATTGCAACAGTGTAGCTGCGGCGCAGCAGTTCTCAGATCGTCCAAGTTGGTGCGCGCACCTCCGTTCCGAGCCAGAGCCACCTCCAGCACTGAAAACTAACCTTTCTAGGAGGAAAGATTTTTTTTAAAAATAAAGTAGAAAACAATTGACTTACTTTTGCCGTTTAGGTATGCAGCTCCAAATCTGGGGCGCACTCAGAATTCAGTGTCGCTCACCGGGTGCCAGCTCGGGGACCTCAGGTTGTCTCCAGCGAGGCTCCAGGAAAGTCTCGCCGTCCAACAAACCTTTGGCCTCCCGAGCGCCCCTGGGTGGCCCTGGAGAAATCTGAGGAGCCCTCCCCCCTTTCCCAGGGTGCGTTTTAGGCTAATTAGTGGACACCACTCACGTCCCACCTTGCCCCCCACCTGTCCCCTTCCTCCCACCTCACTGTCTCGGGGTCCCCAGTTTGGTCAGGGCAACTCACCTTTATCCATGAAAACAAGGAGAATCTGGACGGAGTCACCCATTAGTGACGCCGGATGGGAATGGGCCCCTTTCTGGGAGGGGTTTCTGGGGACTGGTCGCGGCGGCGGCGGGCGGGCTTCCTGGTCCTGCAGCGGCGGGGCTGCCTCTCCTCCTCCTCCTGGCGCTCTTCTGACTCCTCGGGGTCCCGAGGATCCTGGTCTAAGGGCTCGCGCTGGGGCTCCTCCCCCTCGCTCTCGCTCTCGGGCTCCTGAGTGGTGGGCTGTGCACGCCTCGGGGAGGCGTCTGCGCTCCGCAACTTCAGAGCGTGCAGACGCTGGGTGAGAGACTGGTTGAAGGAGGCGCCCCGGGGGCCGCGCTCGTCTTCGGGTTCAGTCTCAGGCTCAGTTGCGGGGGCGGTATCAGACTCGCTCTCTAATTCAGTCTCGGACTCGAAGTCAGACTCGGTCTCCGTGTCCGTCTCCGTGTCCGTCTCCGTCTCCGTGTCCGTCTCGGTCTCAGACTGGGTCTCAGACTCAGTCTCAGACTCGGTCTCAGACTCGATGTCGTCGTAATCAAGGCACTCGGGGCGGGCCAGCTCAGCTCGTGGCAGCTCAGGTCGTGCCTCCTCTAGCTCGTGATCAGAGGGATCAGACTGAGATTCGGGGGACTCGGGGAGTACCTGCGCAGCGGCGGCGGCGGCAGCGGCGGAGCGGTGGTGGGCGTTAAGGAAGCTCCGACGCTGGGCAGCACGCTGCTGGGCACGGGCGTTGGAAGTGGCTAGGGCGCGGAGGAGCGCGATGGAGCAGGAGAGCCAGAGGAGCGCGGTGGCGGCCCGGCGGCCTATGGGCGGGCACAGGTCGTTGTAATTATGGCGAGCTCGGCGCCACTGCTGAGCCCGGGACCTGCGATCCATTCTCCTAGGCGCTCACCGAGAAGCCGACTCACCCTCTGGCTCTGCAGAGAGTGACCCCACTGCGCAAGAACTGCTGAAGCCGAAAAGGAGGAACCTTATGAGGTGAGAAGCAGGGTCCGGAGACCCCAGCTTCTCACCTCAGGGCGAAAAGAAGGGATGCACCTACCTTCCCGACCACAGCGAACTTTCTAAAGCTCCGCGCCCCAGCTGCCGTCTGTAAGTAAAAGAAAGGAATGGGTAAAGCAGAGAGAAGGGTTGTCTCCTCCGGGGCGCCTCTCGCTAAGTCTCAGACTCTAAGTCTAAGACTCCGAGAGGTGCCTCCACTGGTCCTCTCGTCTGGGAGAGGATGGAGGAGACTGAGGAGAGATGGGGCAGCGAGGCCCTATAAAGTTGCGCGGACTTCTGCCGGGCATGTGCAGTAGGGAGGTGGGGGTGCCTCCCCGCTAGCTGTGCGGTGGCGCATAGCGGTGGCGCAGACTCTAGTGGGCCGGCAGGTGGCAGGCAGGAACCTTGTTTGAGACGATTTGGCCAAAAAGGTTTGGGGGGGGGGTGGCGAGTTATAGCGAGCAAGATAGCTACAGGTTAGCGGACTTGAGACGTAGAGTGTGGATTTCTCGCGCGGTTTATCCCACTCCTCATTTCTCCGAGAACACACCCACTGAACAACAGAAAACCAGGACGCAAAATTGCAAATAGTTAGTGGAATGAGGGCCGTCCATGAATATTAAAGACCCCGCACAAGGCATTCTCCAAGGGCTTGAGGGTTTGAGGATAGGAACCTCAAATAGCCATTAATGACCGACAGGGATGGTTCTTTTTGTTGGGGCTGTTACAGTAGCTGTAATTAGAACAGCTTCCAAACAGTGTGCACCCCGTCGACAAACAAGCCCTCCCTTAAGAAAGGCCCCGCAGCTGCACAGGTAGGGGTCTGCAAATGGTGAACTCTGTTCAACTGAGGTGTGCTGGAAGACCAGAAAGGGAGCTGAGAGCCGCCAGGAGAAGGCCCTACAGCCGCTATCTCCGCGTGGCTTTTTGGGGGTAGTCATTGAGCACCGACTCAGAGCTTTCAGCTGAGAGGGTTCAATCGGCAAACCGGAGTCTCCGCCTCGGGCGGAGCTCTGTTCTTGGTGCTGAAGACGGCAATGAACCCGAGCGGGTCTTGAATTGGAGAAGCTGTGTTGAGGGGTTAATGTGCTTTAACCAGAGCCTCAACTCAGTTTTCCAGCCTCGCTTCATCGGCTCACACCCTACGTGAGAAAACAGGTGCGTCGATCAGAACGGCATGGCTAGGGGGCGGCCGGAGACCACTAGATCGTGGTATTGGACTCTGAAGCCTAAGGAATTGGAGGTGAGTGGTCTGTCTGTTCCCCGAGCCCTGGAAAACCGGATGAACTCGGTGGGTCCGGGAGGGAATGGATCACGGATCCCTGCGGTGGGAAGTTCTCAGGTTCCACCTGTGTGTGGCCGATGCCCTTGGAGGGTGGGAAGGTCATTTATCTTGCCTTGCATGTTCAAATATGAAGTGGGGTTGTTGTTGTTTTGCCCCAGGGACAAGCAGGGTTATTTTACATGGGACACATACATGTCACAGGTTGGACAGTTTTTTTTTTTCTTGAGGCCATGTGAAGAAACCCAAAGAAGAGGTGCTGCCGCCTCTCCAAACTCTGCTCCCCAGGGTTCCTTCCTGAGGTGGGATTCTCAGTCATGTCCTAAGCCAGTGACACCCATGGGTCACTTAGCCTCATGCCCGTAGCATCAGGCTTCGTCAAAGCTTCCAAATGCAGGTTAGGGGCTCAGGAAGAGCCTGGCCACTGCTTTGGGTAGCTTGAGGGTTTTGTTTCTCTCTCCTGGCTGTGTCTCTGCTGCATCTTGTGGTCCAGGAGTTGGTGTGTAGCCCTAAAATGCTAACTGCTCTGATGGAGCAGGGTTGGTTTAGCAAAGCTGACAAGCATGTGGCTGGCTGTATTCTAGCTGTGCCCTGCTGGCTCTTGAGGTACTGATTGTGAGACCCTGTCATGGGGGTCTGTGAGACCCTGTCATGGGGGGTTTGAGGGATCTGACCACTCCATGCCTACCTCATTTTTTTTTCCACTTAGCACAGCTCTGCCCGCAGCATATGGTGTGCAGAGACATTGGTCAAGCTGATTTTAGGGCACATTGAGGGAGAAGTCAAGGCTGTGTGGGTGCTGGTAAATGCCCTTTTGATGGAAACTGATGCCTGCTGTCCACAGTGAGGTGAGTTATAGTTCTTTAGCGTATGGAGAAAAGTGTTTCATTTTTCAGATGGAGTGCTTTATGCCTATAACGGAGATGACAGCCCAGAGCCAGTTCACTAAAACAAACACACTAAGATTGCCTGCATTATTAAAAAATATGCATTACATAATACGTATTTTTGGACTTGGATTCTGCATTAGCAATGCTTTTTTTTTTTTTTGCAAGATTCATTTTAATCAGCCAGTGGACATTTAACAAAATACTGCATTTTCAAGCCCCAGTCACACAGTTGCAAATTCATTTCAGCATGTATTCAGAGCATGCTGCAGGAGGAGCAGGGGCTGCACTGAAAGACAGTTCCATCTTACACTTAATGCCGAGGTCGAGCAAATAGATCTGCACAGAAAATGCCTTTTAAAATGCATTATGTGCATGGCTTTAAAAGTGCTTGCTGCAGAGTGAATTTCAAAAGGGACCAAGTGGGTGATGAACGACCTCGGTTGTTACCAGGCTAAGGAACAAGGGGCTCTCTCTGTGTCTACCCGGTAAATAAAGTGTGGTCGTATATCACACGCCAGGTTCTGCCAAAGGGAGGCTCCTAAACCAGCTGGACAGGAGAGCAGGTTCCAGTTCATAACAGTACCGCACAGTGGGACTTTATTTGGCTGCACTGTGGAGACGGTTGTCCTATGGAAGAGGCTTTAGTGTCACTTCACATAGCTTCCAAGGGCAAAATTAGAGCCTCTGGGTGGTGTTTACAGATAGGCTTCAGCCCAGGGAGGAATATTCTAGCAATCAGAGCTATGAAGTGGAGTGCACTCATCAGAAATTGTGCTGAGGTCAAAGGACTGATGACCATGACGTCTTGGAGATGTCTCCCTGGTGCTCATGAGCCCGCTAGAGCTAAAACTAAAGGGTGGGGGCTGTAGGAGAGGGTGGGGGCTGTAGGAGAGGGTGGGGGCTGAAGCCTTTCCACTCTGCTTCTGTTTCAGGAAACTTGGAAGGTGCCTGCCGGTGGTGACAGAAAGGAGTGTTTGAGTGGCAGCTTTGAGACAACCCAGGTAACCACAAATGGACCCAGTGGCCTGTCTTGGAGCTCTTGTACGCTGGCAGGGCTCTGAGGTTCTTTACTTTCTGGAGCAAAGGCATTAGTCAGGTCCATCTATTAATTAATTGGCCTTCTTGCCTCCCCTCCTGGAGCTGTCTCGGAAATTACAAATGAAATTGGCTATTTAGCAATCACGAATTGAGTCACTTCTATGACCAAGACACTATTCCTGGCATTGTGGGGAGATTGAAGTCAATGAGGATGAACAATTCCTGCCATCCAGCAGCATGCAGATCAATGTGAGATGCCCCCAATTTTAACAACAGACGACCAGTGGGCACAGAGTAACAAACTCTACCCTGGCGAGTGAGCAGGAGAGGGAGGCTAAGAACCACACTTGGAGTCATAGGTAGCTTCTCTAGTTTCTGGGGCCAGTGCTGATGATTGTTGTCCATTGGTCTTTTAAAACCTAGTCTGACTTTGAGGGGTTTTTGTTTTTTCTTCTAATCTTGTAAGAGGACTGCTTCCATCCCACCTGTTGTGCAAAGCCCTGGGCATCAGATGATCCCACCAGTCTGTAAAGGCTTGCAGTCTGCTGTCAGAGGCCCACAGACGCCAGTCCATTGTCCAATATGAGACTCAAGATAGAGTCTGGGTTCTGCTCTCCTTAGCAAACGGGTACAATCGCTATTGAGCATGTTTTTGGACAATCATTGGGAAGGACTATTTTTGGAGATGGAGAGCTTTTCAAACTTTCTTTTGGAGAGAGATGAATTGAGGGACTTTGAAGTGCTCCCCACCCCTCACTGTGGCAATCAGCCAGGAAGGCTCGACCTCACTGGGAATTTGGCATAGGCCCCTCCCCTCCTGTTCTCCAAGGGGACTAGGCACAATGCGGGAACATTTGGTTCATCTCTCCAGGATGCTATTTTGCTGTTACTCAGGCTGCACTGATCTCTTCTGGCTTTCACCAATAATATGGTGAAATCTCCAAGCTCCTGATTTTGTGATTTAGGGGAGAGGCCAGCTAGAGCTAAAAGCAAACACTAGGGGGAAATAGCCATTTTTAGGATTCTGTCCTGACCATCATTGGGTTCATCTGCATTGCTTCTGTTGGGAAGAGGTGGGTGGGGTCAGAGCTAAACACATTAACCTAGAGGAGTTGTAAAGTTGCCTCTTGCCCTCTACTCTGTGCAAATCAACACACACACAGCATATGCACACACAGCACACTCACACATAGCATATGCACACACACACACACACAGCACACATACACACAGAGGACACTAACACAGAGCATATGCACACACACACAGCACACATACACACAGAGAACACTAACATAGAGCATATGCACACACACACCACACTAGCATAAGCACACACACTCACAGCACACACACACACACACACACACAGATAGACACACACACATACACAGTTCCTTCTGCCTTTCCCTCTTCCGTGGAATGAGCGATTTCTAGGCTCAGGAGCCCAGTAGCTCCTCCCCTCACATGGAGCTCCGTGTCCAGGCTCTTCTTGAAAAGGGACTTTCTCGTTTGGGTTTTGGCCCTGGAGCTTGTGAGCCTTGTGTTACACCATTTGCACACTTCCCAGCCTGAAGTTGGTGTTTGCTCTCCTACTCCTGTGGAGACATCAGTGTGTAAGAAATCACTGGCTCAGAGGCCCTGGTGAGATGGACATACTGCTGGTTGCTAGGGGCCTGGCTGTCCAGAAGGTCCTTGGCCCCCAGCTATGCCTTTGTCCAACTTTCCTGAGTATCTCAGTGCCCCGCCCTGCCCCAGCTTCAGCCACCCACAGGGAAGAGAGCCTCAGAGCTGTTTTCATCTTGCCTGAAGTTCTGACTCACCCATCAGACCTGGGGGAGGGAGCAAGGGAGCCTGCAGCCCAGAGGGGAGAAAGCCCTTAGTGGTGTCATGGTTCAGGCTCATGCTCATAGAATCCTTTCAGCTTGAGCTCTTCAAACTCTGATTAGACCAATTTTACATGTCTAGTCACTGAGGCTGCAATAGATTGGGACTCTTTCTATATGTGCAAAGTGAAGTGGAGAATTGAGGCAATTATCTTCAGGCAAATGAGTCTGGGCTCTGTAATCAGTCTGTCCTGATAACTGGGCAAAATCGGCCTCATGAACAGAGCTTCGCTTTGAGTTAAAGATGATTCTGAGGTATTTGTTTGTTTTTCACTTGGCTTTGTTTTTCAAAGACATTCTAGTAGACATCCCATCCTGCCCTATGCAGTGGTTGAGCCCACATGGGCTCACACCCAGATGTTGTGCATGTGTATGTGGTCAATCGCAGGTTCCCTTTAACCTGCCTTTGTCCTTCCAGTGGGCACCTTTCTCTATGCAACACACTGAGATGTTGATCCGGGCTACTGATCTACAGTGTTCAGGTGACATGAATCCTAATGGAACCAGGAAGACTTGGCAGGCAGGGTTGTACGATGAAGCTTAGAGGATTGAAGTGTAGCTCTTAGGTCCAGAAATGAAGACAATGGTCCCGGCCCAATCTGTTGTGACTAAAAACCTTCATTAATTGTAGGCCTTTCTTCATGTTGGCCCTGGCTTCCCTCCTGGCTCATCCATCATCTGTGATGGAAGGAGGAAGCTCCAGAAGGGACTGAGTGGGTGGGTGGGGCCAGATGAAAACTCCAGTCATGTAATCTCCCATGGGTTCTCTGGGAGCCTCTGTCCCATGGGAAGGGCCAGTGGTACCTACTGGGTACCTACTTGATAGACGGTTGACTGGGAGCAGGCAGGAGACAGCCTGCACAGTTTCCCTCACTATATGCATAATTAGAGAACAATGTGGGTTTAATTAGCTTCCTCAGCGTGCTTTTGACTATAAGTGCTCTAGGGATGAAGAGCTTGAGATGGACATTGGGAAATTGGAAATTAAGAAAGACTGCTTTCCCCCAGGGTCAGGAAATCTCTATCTTGTCCCTTTGAAATTTTCTGATCTCTCTTGTTATTAAAAAGAAAGCATGGAAAGCGAGAAAGACAACCTTGCCGTTTATACCGGGGCTAAGAGGGTTTTAAAAGACATCTCTGCCCTCTGAGCGTTGATGCCTTATGTGGTCTGCACTTTTTATTGCGGTCTGCTTTATTCCTATTGAGTTTGTTAAATTGTACGTCTTCCCGATGCTTCTCTCGGTGGTTTACAGCCAGGCAATCGTTGTTTTATGCTGTGTTTTAAGACCTGCCAGAGCCTATGCTCTCTTCCCAGACACTGTTTCCTAGCTCTCTGATAGTTTTGCCCATTTATTTTCCTATACAAATTTAAAAAACATTTTTATCAAGTTCTGTAATGACCTTGGTGATGTTTTGCCTGGAACTGCATTGAGTCTGTAAATTAAACGAGGAAGCACTATGGTCTCTTCTGCATTTTGTCTTAAGCCTGGAGTCTGGTCTCTTCATTTATTCAAGTCTTTCCCACATTAAGGGCTTTATTTTTCTTTATACTATTTGAATGTAAAATGTGGCATTTGATGCTTGAAAAGGCGGCATACATGGGTTTCTCAGGCATTTGATACTTCTGTCGCTCTGTGAATGGGCTGTCTGTTTTTCATTAGGTTTTCGGGCTGTTTATAGCGTGTTTATGGGATGATATTGATTTCTGTACATTTTCCTCATAATTCTGCTACTTCAAGAATTGCCTGGTTGATGAGGCCCCCCGTGACTCCCCAGTGCATGCTCAGCTGACTTCTGGAGAGAGCTGAGGAGGGCTCAGCTCCTCCACAGATTGCCCAACGCTGGTCTGAGGGGAATGAAGATGGTGATGGTGGTATCCTGAGCTTTCACCACTGGAGCTGAGTTGGGGAAGGCATTTCCCATGACTGGGGCTACTCAAGCCTCCCACCCTTGGGATTCTGTTTTTTTGTATTTTTGTTTTTCCTTTCTAGAAGGACAGAAGATGATGATAAGTTTGTATGGGGGTGTTTGTTTTGCTTTAAGTTTTTAAGTATTTTAAAAATAAGGATTTTTTTTTTAAAATCAAACTGAATTCTGCCACTCCCCAGACCCGAAGCAAGCCTTAACAAATACAGGAACTAAGCAATTTCCTTGTGTTGAATCTTCTAATGGTGTCAAACTGCTAATTAACAGGAGAAACTATAGAGCATTCACAAACTCAGGAGACCAAACAGCACACTTCTGGGTGATAGACAGGTGAATGAAGAGACTAAAGAGGAGATGAAGTGGAAAGGAACACAACAAGCCCAGTCACGGGCATGCAGCAAAGCAGTCTGAAGCGATTGTGTGCAGCTCAGCACCTCCTTAAGAAAGCAAGACTGCCCAGGCTGATTTCAGTCCCAGGACCCACCCACGTGATCAAATCCTCTGACCCCTGCACCTCTCTCTCTCTCTCTCTCTCTGTCTCTCTGTCTCTCTCTCTGTCTCTCTCTCTCTCCCTCACTCACACACACACACACACACACACTAAACAAATAAATAAATGTTTAAAAAGAGCTCTGTTGATACAAGTCAGGGCCTCAGGCAAAAAGGAACAATTAAAAACCAGAATGAGTAGCTGAGAGACAGTTGCATTGGAGCAGAAACCAGCAAAACAGAAATGTTAAAAATACAAGGAATCAATGAAAAGATGATTAAGATTGGCAAGCCTTTAATCAAATTAACCAAAAGAAAGGAACAGAAGACGCCTTAGTCATTAGACATGAAAGTGGAGACGTTATAGCAGGCGTGAGGAAGTCAGCAAATCCCGTGCACGCCTTCAGCACATATATTCCACTAAACTGTAATTTCCATAGAAATTGTTTTTGAATTTTCTTTTTTAATTCAAAAAGAAATTTTGATTTCTAGTGCATGTGACTGACTGTTATTAAACTCAGATGAAATAAATAATTTAAACAAATCTATAGCAAGTAGTGATTTGGTAAAGTAGTAAAGACAATCTTCTTGACTAAAAAAGTCTAGGCCCAGATGGTTTTATTGGTGAATTTACCAGCTCTTCAGACAGGAGCCAAGACCAA